TCGAAGAGTTTGTTTTGTGTTTCTTTCATGGTGTCTTGCTGTCACTCGCCCGACCACAGACAACCATTTTTCACCAAGAATCAGCAGCAAAAGTCAAGTCCCTGGTGAACTTTATGGAGGCTCCAGTATACCAAGGGTAAATTAAAAACAAACAAAAAAAGCTTTGCCTTAGGTCTATTTTTCTTGTTTCTGATTATCAAAGGATTAGCTGCCCTTGAAGTGATCAGATCTGGGAATGACTTCTGATTCCTGCAGCCTCCCTCCACGACTGTCCATCAGATGGGACCCCGCCGAGATAAGGGATGTTTTCCAAAGGCCACTGCAACAGTGGTGGCCCCACAACAGATCTGCAAAAACAATCTCAGGGTTTCAGTTTTTCCTTTTTGAGTGTTCTCATTTATGCTCCCCATTGAGTCTATTATTTCATGTTATTAAAGCCATAAACTATGGAAGGCTGAAGGGCAAGGGCAGTTTTTAAGAACTAGTGCTGTGAACACTTTACTCTCGCAGACATGCTGTGAATGTCGAAGACTGTCTATTTCTAGATAATCTTAACATGCAGCTGAGTGTACAATCCTTCTCTAGCTTGCTCGTGGCAAAAAAGACACACATAATTAAAAAAAGCAAGTCAACTCCAGAAGTCTTTTCCCTAAAAAACTACTATGCATCCAGTGAAACTACACTTCTATGATGCTGGAAGACAGTGTATTTCTAATTAGGCTGCTTTAATTTTCCTATTTATGGGAAAGACGTTTTACTGACAGTGAGCACATACTCTCTAAAAAATGCTTAAATACACCACACTCAATTTTATTTCCTGAGCCAGATGAGTAGAAATTCACCCAGGGCAGTACTGCTCATTTTGGTGTATTTATAGCTGCAACCTAGACTAGCAGAAATAACTACTAGCACTACAGCACACTGTGGTAGGGGAGCCTGTAACAAACAGATTATATGCCCCCACTCTCTATAGAGCACTTTTCAGAGACAGTGACAAACTAATTAAGGCAGAGTACCCTTTGTTTGTGTTTTCAGTTTTCACAAAACCTCAGCAGATCTCAAGCTTCAGAGCCACTACTCTCCTACAGACATTAAAAGCACTTACAGACTGTACACAGGAAGCAGCCAGAAAAGATGTTTGGGCAGAAATGTCATCCAGTTCAGGGAATGAGTCATCTTTCATGACTCCAGTCAGTGACTCAGATAATTCCTATACCAACTTGGGAGCAAATCTCCAACAAGTACAAGTTGAGTAACACCAAAGGGAACCTCAGATATCCAAGAGAAAGCTATAAATGAATGCAAAGCTCCAGCTGCCATCAGCTGTCCCACACCACAAAACTATTACAGAGATCTCCCCAACTCCCAGAGTCTTGTTCTTTCACTGCTGAAGGAGAGGTGTGAAAGCATTTTCATTCATTCAACTCTCCCATACAATTACTTTTCCCTCCAAGGAGCAGACTAAGAAAATACTTTTAGGTATTGGTGTTTTGGAGAAGCACAAGAAACATTAAGAGCAATGGTTTTCCTTCACATAGAAACAAACTCGTTTTTTCTCTCACTGTGAATCTCAGTCAAATCGTGGTTCTTCCCATGAGAGATGGCCCTGTCTTATCAGAACCTGAGGTGCAAGACAGGCAACTCCAATACCTGTTCTCAGGGTGGGAAGGAGAAACAGCACCATACATGATCCTGGCAGACAAGCAGAGAGGAGCCGCTCTGTGAAAATCTGTCCTCCCTGCAGAACATCAGCTAGATCTGGAGCTGAAGGTTTGGGCTTTGGGACATTACACTCTTCCTGGCATGCAGGGTGTTTTGGGTTTGCATGGCAAGGTTTTGGTAGCAGGAGTGGCTTCTGCAAGGAGCTGTCAGAAGCTTCCCCCATGCCGGCCAATGTCAGCTAGCTCCAAGACAGACCCACTGCTGGCCAAGGCCAAGTCCATCAGTGATGCTGGTAGCACCTTTGGGACCACATATTTAAAAAGAGGAAAAAAAAACAAAAACCAGTGGCAGCTTTTGCAGCCAGAGTGAGAAGATGTAAGAAACTCTGCAGACACCAAGGTCAGTGCAGAAGGAGGGGGAGGAGGCGCTCCAGGCGCCGGAGCAGAGATTCCCCTGCAGCCCGTGGTGAAGACCATGGTGAGGCAGGGTGTCCACCTGCAGCCCATGGAGGAAGGATCATGGGTAGCAGATATCCACCTGCAGCCCGTGGAGGAC